TAAACATTTTATTATATTATTCATAATAAATATTTATAAAAAGAGTTGTTTTTATATTGCTAAAATATTTAAGGTTATTAAAGGAAGATTATATATATATATATATATATATATATATGATTGACCAATAGCAACTTGGTCTATGGGTAAAACCCCTTGTAGGTGAACCGGCTAGGAACCCGACATTAAATTAAATTTTTGTTTGTTTCTCATTAATTCTCTATTTGGACCCCTTTTGGACAGATAATATATTAAATATCATATCATATATCATATATTATTAAAATCAATCTCAATCGTTTATTTAGTCTAATAAATATCTTAATTGTTTCTGAATATATATATATATATATATATATATAAATTATGATAATCTTTTATAAATATCCAAATTATAATAAATAAACTCTTATAATTTCTATAAAATATATCAATTAATTGGTTGTTTGGCTTGTACAACTTGTTGCGTTTGTAAAAGATCTCTCTCTATCTCTATCTCTCTCTATCTCTCTCTCTCTCTCTCTATATATATATATGTATGTATATGTGTGTGTTTATTAAACCATTTAATTGAATTCAGTTTGATATAACTTAGTTGAATATATAAAAATATAAAACTTATTATAGAATTATCAGTTCATGGTTCGGTTTTTTTCACATAACGAAAATGATAATTAAAATGTGTAATGTAGTCTTTTCTCGTTTTGATTTCTTAGTTTAGCCACTTCATTGTCCTCTCTAAAACCTAACTAAAAACAAATATTTAGTTTATTCAACAGTATTTTCTTACGAAAGTTGTTTTGTGAAGTTTGTATTTTTTTTTTTTTGGTGAAGCAAATGATCATCATGTTTTTAATAATTTATTTCATCGACTTTATAGTATTCTTTACGTAATTTACGTTTTTCTTTGGCAAAACATTATGTTCTTATAATTCATTGATCGCTTAGGCCTTGTGGGGTGAAGGTGCTCGTAAGATTGGAGTTGCAGGGCTACCTCCAATGGGATGCTTGCCGATTGTTATCACTCTTTTCTCCAAAAATGCAATTCATGATCGTGGTTGTATCGATTTCTTCTCATCAGTAGCAAGAACTTACAATTCCATGCTACAAACTCAATTAAACCTCATGCATTTTAACCATGCCCATGAAGGTGCCCGAATCGCCTATTTTGATATTTATTCACCCTTATTAGACGGGATTGTCGGCCATAAATATGGTAAGTTCATTCTCTTTTTATGTACATTGGTTTGAACCATTTTATGGATATAATCTCTTCTAACTAGGTCTATTTATGTCATGTGTCTATCTCTCAGGGTTCAAAGAAGTTAGGCTCGGTTGTTGTGGGACTGGCTTGTTAGAAACGACATTCCTATGCAATCCTAGTTCAAAAACATGTTCAGATGCATCTAAATATGCATTTTGGGATTCAATTCATCCGACTCAAGAGATGTATAAGATTTGTTCCAAAGCGCTCCAACCTACCATCGACCACATGATCAGGGACTAAACCAATATACTTAGAAACTATGGGCATAATGTACAATTATTCATCATTTAAGAGTGGAGGGGTCTTATGAATTACCAATATATATGGTTTTTGTTTGGATCCCAAATATAGTAATAAAAAATTAATTGTGTATTAAGATCATTTTATTTTGAAATAGATTTCAATGTTGTGTGAGTTGTAACATTAGACGTATAAAAATACGACCTTGTCTTGAAGAAAGGGGGGAACATATGAGTTATGTCGGCAAATTTCATGATTAGGTCATTTTTACGTTATGAACTGTTATCTTTTTATTTATTTTTCTTTCGAATTTAATTTCTAATTATAGATAATTATTTTTGCGAAAATATTAATCATGTATCATCTCCCCTTCCTTTCACGTTGGCTTTCTCATCCCATGTACTGAGCTACTTTTGGATTCTCTTCAAATCTTCATGATATGTTCTGTTTTTCATGCAAAAATTTCATTCTCTTCATTTGCTTCTAAGTTCTCATTTTTAAAGTTTTGCATCAGTTACATTTGCAGTATGAGTATGCCTTTTTGTAAACATATTTCATTCGTCAAACCCCTCATAGCTCTTGATCATATTGCCAACCACTTCGTCCACTTGCATTTGATTGTTGCGTGATTTTTTTCATGAGTTGTCTTCACTTGGATTTATTTTTTTCCGGGCATAAGTAGTGTTCGCATTTTTTGCATTGATGTTGACGAGATTGAAATTCTTCTAAATCAAAGCTTTACGGCGGCCTTTAGCCGCAATAATTTCAATGTTTTGGAATGACCCAATGGTGTGGATGAGAAATCGATGTTAGATCCAAAATTGTGATGCCATTCATTTAAGAAATATTTGATATGAAATGGATTGATACAAAAGTAATTGTAATGAAATAAACTGGGACAAATATAATTGCTATGAATGCGAATATAATCAAAGTAGAAAATGCCGACAAAGAGAAACAAAAATTGCAAGAACAACAAACCTTACAGGCACAAAATTGCAAGAGTTTGGAAACAATTTGGAGACTGGAGAATCTTATAAAACTTTATTAGCGGTGACATGACCTAGAACACTTCGTAAAGTTCTACTAGTTATGCCGGAGAATCTTATAAAACTTTATTAGATATTTCCATTCTCATTCTGATTTTTATTCTCTATCTAAACCAAACAGCCCCTAAACTCATCAACAAGTAGGCCCTAACTCTATAACAATTCTTTAAGGTGGAGTTTGATTTGCAGAATGTTTTTTGATGGAATGGAACTTGTTAAAGAAATTTATTTTGAAGGAATTCGAATGGAATGTTGTCAGGTTTTGGCTACTTGTTTGGTTGGCAGACATTGGAACGGAATATGTTAAGTGATTGGAATATGTTTGTTTGGTTCACATAATGTAGCTTTGGAATGGAAATGAAATATCGGTAAATGACCATGTTGATCCTCTCTCTCAGTGATTTGATGATAATCCATTTTCTCTTTCACGTTGTATTTGTGTTTCTATATTTTTAGTTCTAGCGATCTTCACTGAGTATGTTCAGTGATCGCTGAAGAACTTGCATTGTAAATCTATCAGAGACAACAATACTTCAAGAAGACAACACTCACACCAAAGAACCTTCAGCAAACGTCGAATACTGAAACTGAAGATTAGAGACCGGCGAGTACGTGATCTGAAACGGTATTCAGTGATTACAAGTCTGTCTACATATGTGTGAAGATTGCTCAAGCTTCAGCGAATGATGATGAGACCTTCAGGTCATTCCAGCATTCAGCGATCAAAGGAAGTTTGCTTAGCACGATTGTTGTTGTCTTGTCCTTATGCACACAAAGGACAAAACCCATACCCTTACAAAAGTTGTACTGTACGGAGCCGACTAGTCGACTCTTTGTCTACCAACTTTAGGTAAGGATGTCTGCTCTTGAATAGTGCTTTTGTACTATTCACTGTAGCAAAGGACAAGCCTTCCTCTTAAGGCTTGACACGCACTCTAAACCTACCATATTGCATTAAATG